GCTGGAGGCGGGCGCTTTGTCTAACTCCGCCGCTTGGCAACCCGAGCGCGGGAGGCAGGGCCCGAGGGCGCCAGGGGTGATGACAAGGAGGCCCGAGGCGCGCGGCGGAGAGTCCATCTTGGATGCAAATGGCAGGGGGAGCCGAGGCTTTGTAACGGGGTGCACGGGGCGGGGGCGCCCCCACCCAAACGCCAGACGCCCGGGACCCCGGCGCTCCTCCTGGATCTCGCCATAGGAGAAAGACGGAAATCTGGGCACAGGTGCCAGTCAGCCCAGAGCAGGGCTTCGGGGTTCCTGAGCGGGTGCGGGTCACTCCGTGACCCCGGACCCCAAAGGTCCCAGGGCAGCGCCCAGCCTCAACTATCCCAGCGCGGGCCTGAGGTTTCCCGCCAGTCCGGGCGTCCCGGCCGCTGCAAGACCCTCCCCCCCCCTCCCCATCCTACCTGGGCCACGGTGCGTGTCTCCCTGAGGTCTGCAGACCCCGGAGCAGGTGGGAACATTTGAGAAAATAGGTCTGTGTGCCCTTGGGGCTCAGAGCCCACATTTGACCAATTCAACTATCCCCCCCTGCCCCGCACCCTGAATCTTAACCCTTTCTAAGGGCCAGATCTGTATCCAAAAAGTTAAATACATACGGATACATTGTATCATCGCATGTTGCTCTTTTGGGTCCCTCTTCCGATTTTCGGAGTTAAGGAGTCAACGTTTGGAGACCAGGCCCCAACTTGAGGCCAACTGCCAGCGTGGCATTTCTGACCAGCAAGGCCAATCCCCTCCCCCACGGCCTCTGCCCCCTCCCCCACCAATGCGCCTAGCTTTTTGGGAAGTCTGTCTGCAACCGGGCGTGTAAAGGAGAAGGGCCCTGGTGCGGGGACAAAGCCGGTCACCTCCTAACTCCAGTGTCTCACACACACACACACACCCCCTCCCTGTCTCCTTCCGCCCCGGGGTGAGCCCCTCGGTGCAGCCCACAGCAGCCTGACAACTTCTGGAGGAGTTTCCTGGGACCTCCCGGCTCCAGCCCCAGGGGAGGGCAGAGGCTGGCCCCTCCCGAGCTGTGCGGGAGGGGGCCTTCTAGGCCCAGCTCTGGGGGCCCCCAGGTGCGGAGTCCGTCTCAGATGCACCCCCACACCCACACCCACACGCACACCGCCTGCAGGCGCTCAGAGGGCCCCCCTCCTCTCCAACTTCTTTCCCTCGGCGCGCGCCCGAGGGGGCCTCCCGCGTGCGGCGCTCTGAGGACCCCGCTCGCACGCGCCAGGCTGAGCCCCCACTGACCGTTGAGTCCCCCGCACCTCGGGTGACCCCAGTCCCTGCCCAGCAGCCCTGCGCCCCCCCTCCCC